GTAAATAGTTTTGGAAGGGGCTACCATTTAGCGAACCTTTTAATTTGATTATGCCGCTCAGTTCGAGCTTCATTACTTACCCATCGAGACGTAGTTTATAATATCACGTGGTAAAGTTAATGAATATCTATAAAGTGAGCGACATTTCTCCATACTAGACTTTATCAACCTTTACCAATACCTTTTTAAAAAAAATATAACTAATTTCATTCCTTTATTTATTAGGTAAATTTTATTTATTTTTTTTTAATTTTAAAAAAAAAGGTTAAATAAAACTAAAACAAATATATTCATCTTTTTTACTTCAAAGTCGCGAAGCATTTCGTGATTTGACTATCATGTGAGAAATTAGGTATTGTTTCTTGAAGAAAAAAAAGAAGTATCAGTAAGAAGCAGAAGACCATAGAATTTATATAAAATTCGGTTGAATTATTATTATCCTCCTTCATCAACTATCAGCATTAAAATATGTTTTCAAGCTTTATTATAATTTAAGCAAAAAAAAAAAAATAAAATAAAAAAGGTTCAAAGAAAATACTTGTCACCTTTACATTTAATAATTCAGATGAACTTTTATTTTTGCAATTTGATCTTGTGCACCATCATCTTTTATACGACTTGCACATTTAAAATGAGAATTTGTGTGCATCCCGGTGAATTTTCAAACTTCATCTAAATGATTATATTCAAATGTTTTTGATAAATTTTAATTCTAGAGTGAAATTACATAATAATATATGCCTATATTAATATTTTTTTGGAAATCATTATGATCAAGTGATACTCTATAAAGATAAGATTCTTAAAAATAACTATATTCTTCATCAAATATTTTGGACAAAGCTACTGATTGGTCATTAAATATAAATGGTGCTATCAAAATTCCTAAAAAATGTTATCCGCCGCTTAAAGATTGCGCGATATGAACTTAAAAATTCTAATTAAAATAATTTTGACTTTTTTTTTCACTTTGAAAGTTCAATCTTAAGGAAATTTGAGTAAGAAATTTATATCTCAAGTAAATTCTTTATCAAATTTTTTATGTTTAGACAATGATGAGTTTAATAATTGAACCGTCGCGAATTTAATAACGATGATCCTTATTTTCATATTGAAAAAAAATTTTATTTACAATGCAAAAAAATAATTCGACAAATAATGTTATTTTGTATTATTTTATAATTTCTTATAGCTTTCGTTTTAGTAAATTTATAATACCGTTAGATCAATAAAAAAAAAATTCTATTAGAATATATCTGACATTGTGAAAAAAAAAACTCGCTTTTTAAAGAATATATTACGAATTTAGATTCATTGGTTGAGGTTCGAAGCGGTTCTGACGTGCAAATTTGGGTATAGGGGCGAAAGACTAATCGCATCATCAACCGATCAGGACATTTTTTGATAGATTTGAGTATGAGCATACCGAAAGATGGTGAACTGTACTGTGCCTGAATAGGGTGAAGCCAGGGCATCGAATCCTTTCTTCAATTTTATCCTTTTGTACGTACGCTACAATTCATGCTGTAAATTAATGGAGAAGTAAGGTGAGTGGAGGCAATTTTCAAATTGCGACGTATTTAGGTTAAAGCAAGGGAGAGAAGAGAGGTAAGTGTATTAGCCATTAATTTGACGTGATTTTTCAATGTTGCAATAAATAATACTTATAATTGACAAATTTTAAAACTAAGAAACTAAGAAAATAAGGAAAAAATACGTTATTGAACAATGATCAATTTCAACTAATATAAGTTCTTTGCGACTTAAAAAATAGAAGTTTCATAGCAAAAAAACTATTGTCTGCACAAAAACAATTCGATTTACATTTCGTTAGTTTATTATATACGTTTGGGTGATCTGAAACCCACACGCGCTGTGGTCAATAACTTGCTCGTTTTTTGGTAGGTCGTAAAAGAGTTCATAAATTACCGAATTATAAAATGGATGCCTTTTATAAAATTAAAACATTATATTTTGTCCTTAATGATGGCTAAAATGAAATCCTAGTAGAAAAATAAAGTACTCTGATTGGCTATTGATTACAAACAATCGCAACGATCTGGATTATTGTTAGTAAAAATATGCGTCGTACAATAAATCGATTTTAGTTTCATTTAAATCATTTATATAAGCTTTTTATATTAATTTTATATTTATTTATATTTTTTTTTATTTTGAAAATGTATTCTGAATCATCTCAAGGAATTATTAACGAGTATGAAAAACTGCTTGAAACTGAAGAAGGATATGATGTAATTATCTATGCCGGTGAAAACGAAGAGCTACAAGAAATTCATGCACATTCACTTATTTTACGCACAAGGTCGCAATATTTTCGTGCGGCATTTTCCAATGAATGGGCCGAGAAAAAGGATGGAAAATTCGTTTTTAAAAAACCCAATATTTCACCTTTATTATTTAAAATTATTATAAGGTATTGCGAAAATAGTCATAAAAAAATAAATGTCTTGCCTTAATATTTATTAATGATTTTATTTTCTAGATTCATTTACTGTGGAAAGATTGATTTGACGAACTTACAAGGTTTTGATGTAATAAAGTTATCAATCGCAGTAGATGAACTTAACATCCAGTATTTAATCACTTGCGTTCAAGAATATCTCATTAAACATCGAGACAACTATCTGCAACAGAATCCTATAGGAATTCTTGAAGCATTTCATCAAAATGAATTATTTACAGATTCATTCAATTATTGTTTTGAGAAAGCTTATAAAGAGCCGAATCTATTATTTAATTCCGATAAATTTATCAGTTTAAAAGAGCCTTTATTAGAATTACTTTTAAAACGAGATTTAGATATCGATGAAATTACTATTTGGGACAGCTTAATAAAATGGAGTTTAGCTCAGCATAGTACTATTTCACAAGACGTCACCCAATGGAGTAAAGAGGAAATTGTCACTATGAAAAGGGTTCTTCATAGATTCGTTCCTTTAATTAGATTTTTTGATATATTGCCAAATGATTTTATTGTTAAAGTGTTCCCTTTTAAAAAATTACTGCCAAAAGATTTGATTTCTAATATACTTATATTTCACATGGCACCAAATCAGGAATTAAACGTTGAGATTCCACCCCCTAGAAAGAAACTGATTTACGATTCAATCTTAGTTGAACATCAACATTTTTCTATATTTTCCAGTTGGATCGATAAGAAAAATAATATGTATTATAAAGCATTTAACGTGCCTCATAAATTCAATTTACTTTATCGTGCTAGTAGGGATGGCAACACACTTGCTGCATTTCATCAAAAATGTAACAACAAAGGGGCTACTATAGTTATAGTAAAAATTAACAATTCAGAACAAATAATTGGAGGATATAACCCATTTGGTTGGGATCAATCCAATACGTATAAGTTAACTTATGATAGTTTTATATTCTCATTCGTAAATAGAACAAACTTTCAAACTGCAAAAGTAGGTTATATTATTAATAATCGTGCTCAGCATGCTATTTATTGTCATCAAGATTATGGTCCAACATTTGGCAGTGGTCATGATATAAGGTGGTATAGTAATAATACTTGGAGTTCTAATAACCCACATACTTATTCTCAAATTGATATTCCAAAAGGTCAGTTTCAAATAGATGATTATGAGGTATTTCAAGTAATTAAAAAATGAAACAATTACTGTATTCTAATAAAATAAATATTCCAATATAAAGATCATCTTTATATACAAGTTTATGACCAGACAATGTTCATGAGAAAAGTGTCAATCATTTGATGAATGTTAACAGATATGACCTCTTTATCGGCTTTTTGGCTATAGAAATATATTTAAATAATAATTATGATTTTCATAATTAAAGAAAAAAAAATCTTTCAAATAACGTATTATCCATTTTTCAATAATCCAGAAAATTATCGTAGTGAATCTACGATAAATGAAAAATCATTACGAAGTAAATGCAAACTTTCAAAAGGAAACTTTTATAAAAAAACTAAGTATAATATAAAAATTTTGAATGAAATTTAAATTTCCCTCGAGAAGGAAAATTTTAAATTCTCATCTCTCGCTAATGAATAGAAGTATAATCTTATTATAAAATTTAATTTCACTTTTGTTAAAGGTTCAAAGCATTATGTCGAAAATGATTATAAATTATATTTTGTGAATCTAGAACTTCATCTAAAAATAAAAAATTTATTCATTCATAAATAGCAAAATCCATGAAATAAAATACGTCATGATTCCAAATATTGTAACACTATTTTTACCCTACTGTATCGAGAAGTTAAAAACTAAGAATGAAGGATTATTATCAAGGATTTAATAATTTTCTACCGCAGTATCATAATAATATATGCTTTTAAAAAATATGTAATTTCAATAAAAGTAATGAAGTTTTGAACAATTCCACCTTACTAGACATTAGAGATTTTGGCTAAAGGCGAGACGTTTAAATTATTTAATTAATTCTTCAATTCGTGGAATAAAGAAGCATCAACTGTCTAAAATTACGAATATAGTAAATGGATTACGTTATATTTATTCAATGTTCCAAACCTTCACAAGTTTCTCGTGATAAACGAGGTATATAGAAAACCGGTATGTCGCAAAATTTGCATCGCACCGTATCATATAAATATAAACCATAACTAGTACTAATTTTACTATAGGACCGGATACGATTATTTCATAAGTAACACGTGACCACGCGCAAAGCGTATCCGAGCTTTTTTGCTGGGGAAAATCAATTTTTTTTAAATTAAATCAATACTCCTATTAGGAGATATTGTCGACGCATGACGTATGTAATTACATGCCCATTCTCATCCAATCATCGGTCCTTATACCACTCAATAAAAGAGTTATCAGCCTATCGGCTGATATTTAACCGCCCCTGTCCAATAACTATAGATTATATGGTTGTAATTAGTATGTGTCGATTTCATTTATTTAATGAATACGTAAATATTGTATTTTAAGTACGACATTGATATATAATCAAAAATCACAAATTTATTAAATTATTAAACAAAATAATGTTGATAAAATTAATACAATAATCAATACACTTGAACTAAAACATTCAGCAAGGAAATTACTATTCGCAGCAGAGAAAGGTGGATTATTTGGATAATTATCATCCACGACAGAAGCAGTGATAACTGGGGTTTTCCCATCACCTTTATCAGTACTATTAGAAGCATTATTATGAGACATTTGAATAACGTTAGACGTGAATGAATATATTTCATCATCGGAATTATCATTAAGTTGTAAAAGGACTTTGAATAAAATGGAACCATCTGAAGGAATAGAACGTTTATCATTGGCTAGAAAAGCCGGTAGCATTGTTAACGATAAAGGGGTTGATCCAATCGTAATTACTAATTCATTATCATCGTTTGTTGTTGTAGGAATTATCGCAGGTGTGGAAGTAGGAGAAGCTGTTATGGATGCGGAAGAAGGTGATGTAACTGTTCCTTTGCTGCCAGAGCTAGGCGGATTCCATTCAAAAGTTATCTGGTTATCTGTAAAATCAATAAAAATAATAAATTTTAAATTGTCAACATAAACTTTATTTTAAATCTTTTAAACTTACGATCCAACTGTGACTGATTTTTGATAGTTGCTTTAGCGTCTCCATTACAACCATAAACGTAAGAATATCCAGAAATTGGAGACCAAGAACCAAGACGCGTTCCATCATTAATAAGTTCAGCCCAGATACTAATATAGTTTATGAAATTTTCTTTAGCCACAACTTCTACAGATATTTTAGGTCCATTTGGAATCCATTCATTTGCTTTTACATTTATTTCTATTCCCGTTGCAACCTTTGTAACTTTTAATTTATTGAAAAGTGAAGTGAGTTGATTTTTAAACGAAAATGTAATTTTGAAGCGTCCTACGAGGTAGGTTACTTACCATTCTCACAATCGTTTATTATTATGGCGTTTACTGGTGTGGCTGCGTATCCAACATACAAAATTATTAACACCAAATAAGCCGATATTAAACTATAGTATCTGTTCATTATTATGATTTGTTTACTCTACAGTATTTTAGCAATGAGAAAAAAAATATATGGGATGCTGCGCTGCGTATTGGTGCTGAAATAACTTTGTTATTCTGACATAGATTAGAGATTAGTTTTTTTAAAAAAAAATATGTAGAAGAAAGAAAAGGAGGAATTTCCTAGAGTTTAAAAATATTTTGTTTTTAAAGGGATAATTAATTAAGGATTCCGGCAGGTGATCCATTTTATAATTATGTTTAAACTCATACTAAAGACATAAATAAATCAAGATTCGCGATTCATGAAAATTCATATACTAAATTTTAAATGAAAAGGATGGATTAGCAAATCTTCCCCAATTAAAATAATACTCATTTTGGTAATAAAAAGAGCTTGAATCGTGAACTTCATATTTAAAATTTATTTTTTTGGAAATGATTTCCTAATGACTGTGTGATTTAGATTAGCCATTCTTTAAAAAAAGCATGCAATGACGATCCAACATCAGAATACTGTATCTGATAATTCGACAAATAAAATAAGAGTTTCAAAATTTTATTCAAATGGTTTAATAGACAATTTTAGTCAAAGTGTAGTTGTAATTATGATTGTTATGTTTCAAATGAGAGTCACACCGAAAAGGGCCTAATGATGGACTGCCGCACGCCTTTTATATGGAATAAAAAAAATAAAATATACAGTATTTTAGAACCTTCCGGATGGTCTTAAATTCTGTTCGAGCTCTTTGAGGTTAGATAATTAAGTGCAATTATCACTTCCAGACATATTCAAACGAGAATTGGATTTTGACCATGTTTATTTTGTTGAAAGTGATTCAAAAACATTTAATAAATCAAAATTGAATTACAATGTCATTTTGAAAAAAAGCATATTAAGTTACAATAATAATAATAATAATTACGAACGTCAAAACTATATTTCCATCACTTCTGAACAGAAAGATTATGTAATAAAAGCAGAGGTTGGAACCGGCCCAAAAATCCTTAACCGGTTAAAATATTTAAATTTTAACTCTGGCCGAAATTTAATTTTCGGAAATTTTTTTGTGATTCGCTAATTTTGCACGTGCAGGCCTGAGATAAATTTAACAGGTTAATTAACCGTTCCAACCTATAGATTATTGGATTGTGCTTATTGTGCTTTTTGACAGCATGCTTTCTTTGTAGAATTGAACTTTGCAATCAGAACTAAATTCATTCTAACGTATAAATAGATGAAAAAAGGCTATACATATATATGTGGCTTCAATTTCAGCTTATAATCTTGAATATTTTTTAGAAGCTAATACGTTCATTAATGTGTGCGTCGATAAGCATGTCTGTATAAATATCATTCATTATATTCCATTTTTGGCAACTTAAAAAGATTTAAATTTTTCATGGTCCGTGCACATGAGAAAATAAAAATGCGAATCTTTTGGTAACGTAATCTCAAATTCAGAAACATGACGAGATTCCTTCGCGAAATTCATTTTTAGAAATTTAAATATGAGAGGTTTGCTATTAAAATCATGTGTGGGTCTTGTAACTTTATCCATATATTGTCATCCTATTTATATAAAATATTCAGAATTTATTATAACCCCTCCATTTCCTTCAATAACTGCAACAAGACACATCACATCTACTTCTAGTTGCAATTACCAATTATTTCCGAATTTGATAATTATAGGATTCCATTTTTACATTGTTACTTTATAGGATTATGATTTAAAATTATTATGATTATATTTTAAATAGAATTTTAAAATAAAATCAATTCGAAAAATTAAGTTTGACATACATTTTTTATTAGCGTGTCTTCGTACAGATGTTACGGCTTATAATAAAAGTAAAAGTTGCTTAATCCCATAATTATGTGGCTTATTATGTCTCTGTAGAGACCCTAATATCGTTCTTAATTAATATATTATTTCAATTGTAAGATTTCCAGCTCCAAATTATTTTTCGTACTACTAATGAATTGATTTCAAAAATAAAATAAAAATTAAGAATTCCTAACTGATATATGACCTTTAAATCCTATTACTAATTTTAAAATTAAATCATTAAAAACATAAACGCATTATCGTTTGTCATTGTTCATTTTACATTTATAATTTACATAATTTAGATATTTAAGAATCCGTTCCATGGAATACTTAATTGATCGGTAATATTGGGAAAGAACAAAGGGTAATTGAAATCAAACGTCTTAAAATAAGATTCCGGGTAATTGTACTCAACGGATGATAAAGACGTATTATTGTTATACAAAGGGTTTGGCAAATAAAATGGCAATGAGTTGATGAACGGTGGATAAAAATTTTTCTGTTCTTCTAAATTAAAGGAAATTAAGTTTTCACCGGGATGAGTTGGTGTAACCGGACCATTTTCATTACCGGGTTTCGAAAATTCCGAGATGATTGGACCATAATTAACTTCCTTAGGAACATTCTCCACATTGAAGCTGAAATAACGTGAATTTTCGATATCCGAAGAAGCATTATTACGCAAAGTGTCGTCAGATTCCTTTTTACTTTTATTAGGATATTCAAAAATAAATCTAGGGTAGACGGATTGATTATTGTTATTTCGACATTTTTCTTTTAATAAATTTTGTATGTCTTTCTCGATATTTTTGTAATATTCCTTAACAACGCTCGGTTCATTGGACCAAAACCAACTTGCCCATTTACTGACCCTTATCATTCTATCATTATAATTTTCCGATTTTAATTGCTTTACAAACAATGTTCTGTAAATGAAGAATGAATTCGGTGGTTTGAAATGTAATCTGGAAAGTGGTCGGTCACGGATGAATTCTTCTGCCGTTATCTTTGGTGGAAACGGCATTTTGATCTTTGGAATATCCGATGGAAGGTTCGATAATGAAGTTTTGCTCAATGTGTTTACTCGAGGCATAATTAAAATAGTCAAAAGAAAACTTTTTTTTAAAAAAAAAAAATAAATAAAAGAATGAAAAATAAAGACGATTTTTTTCTTAGAGATATTTTGCGAATATAAATAATATATATATATATAAGACCTTATTTCTCACTTTTTTTTATTTTTTATTATTTTTTCGTAGAAATTTTTCGAGCTTAAATATAAAAAAATCAAAGAATATTTAGGAGTTCCAACCCCGTACCGATTTGATATGGAAATCTAGATTATTCGAATAGATGTTCAGGTATGTGATAATTATTATCTAAATTGACGTAGCTACAGCCGGCGGAACATCCTCCATGATGCAAATAGCATAAAACATTGTGGTATAATTACAATCTCAGTTCACCGCATGGAGATAATTTTCCGTTGCTCGCTTTAATCACGATTAAGGTTTAGAATAAATGTAGTCTCCAAGAAAATCATTGCTTTACTGTTTTATCAAAGTCTAATGATTGAATTTCCAAAAGGAGGCTCAATTTATTTTTTAAATTATTAATATTTTTTATAAATTATATTTAAATCATTTCTGTTTAAAGTTTACAAAAGAATTAGATTCCGGATTTGACAATAAATTATCTAAAAATTATAATGAATTACATGCTTGAATAAACATCAATGCCGAAACATATTATAAGAGCCGCATAACGATCTATCTACTTTAGAAAAAGGATGATAAATTTCAATTGATGCAAAAATCAGGGTGCCAATTTACCCGACATTCAATAATGCTTATTCTTTTAATATATTTCATTGATTAACATATTTTAAGAAAACAACGAGTCAAATTTCTCCTGCTGTGCACCTAACCCATTGATAAAAAGTAAAAATGGTCGTCAATTATTAAAATTTTATTGTTGCTTTGTCATGTAATTAAATTTTGAATCCACAGCCTTTCCTAATTCAAAAAATAAAATATTTCCTAATTTTTTTTTTTTTTTGTGTAGTCGTAGCGATGGTGCAAAAATAATTTTTTAATAATCTAATTTAGTATTATTGGTAATGTTAAATGAAAAATAATGTCAATTTTGTGTTTGATTCAAGTTTCAAAAATTCAATTTATGTACCGTTTTTGTCTCACGTTTTTGTTATCCAATGATAAATTGCAATTGGTAAACTTTTCCTAATTTGGTATGTTATTTATTTTCTCCGAAAAAAAATATATAATCATCCCTTAACGGTTTTGTGGTCGTAAATCTCGGAGATTCGAAGTTTCTTGTTCTTCCTTTAATTAAAGGTATGAATTCCGGTCAAGTATTCTAATTAGGTCGATAACAACTCAAAATACAAAAAATATTATTTTTTTTGCCAAAATTAATTGATATTTTTAAATTTTTTTTTTTTTTTAAAAACAATTAAAAAATTTGCTACACGTAGAATAAATACACAACATTTTTTCGGAAATATAACTAATGATGTTGACTTTCTATTAACCGCAGCAGAGTTTCGTTCGCATAATGGAAAAAAATAAAGCCGCCCGGTGCAGGAATTGAACCCGCGTCTTCACAATTGATTTTGTAGGTAGTGATGTTCTAACAACTAAACTAACCGGGCTGATTTGTTTAAATAAACAATAAATGAAAAAGATAAATATTGAAAATTACGACTTGCTGCGCATCTGCGCATAATTATTATATTGTAACAAACTCCAGAAAGATAATTTAGAAGCAATTCGAGACCCGCCGGCATATGAGTAATTGTTAAGCATCTTGAGTGCGTATTAATATATTTACGCATGGAAGCCAAATTATGAAAAAGTGTTATGACCAGCAAAGATCATAAATAAGCAAAGCAAATTCCTTTAAAAATATGTGAAACTTTCAACTCACGATTCGCCCAATATCTATACTGTGAATTAATCGGGAAAGGGAGTTTCAAATTGCAAAATTGTTGGATGTAAAATTGAGGGAGAGCGGTGATAATTTAAAAGCTCTTTCTGTTTTACAATATGGGTTTCGTCAATAGAACAATAGAACAATAGAAACGCACCATTAAACTTATTAATTTATCATGATATATGTATGATCCGTTTATATAAAACATTATAGGCTTTTTTATATGCTTTTTTATATTGACTTGTATAATCAACGTTATATTATTTTTCTTGGGAACTTGTGGCGCAACTATAAATTCGGGGATAGAAAATTGAATTGTGTAACCTTTTTCTGTAAATTAACTAAAAAAGGGTAATAACTCTAAATAAAATGTAAAAAAAATTTTCTTCCCAAATAAATAAAAAAAAAAAAAAAAAAAGAAAATGTCAACACAATTCCTTTCAAAGTTATGTCAAAACTATATTGAATTATTGGATGATGATGAATTCTACGATATCACCATTGAAGTCGGTGAGGACCTAATGTAAAAATATTCCGTGCGCATATGAACATCTGTGTTATTGTTCTCCGTATTTACGAAGAGCATTGGTTTCAAATAAAAAAAACGACGACAACGTCTTGGCTCATTTCAAGTTGCCAATTATATCTCCGGAAATCTTTCAAATTATTTTGAAGTAAGTTTAATTAAAACATCTACAATAATTAAACTATTTTAAATATTTAAAATTTTTTTTTGTAATGTAAGGTATATTTATGGTGGAGTCCTATTATTGAATGAAAAAGATATTCCAGTCATTCTTGGAGTATTGAGCGTTGCTGGCGACTTACTCCTTCATGAACTCACGGATTATTTACAAAAGTATATAATTAAAAATAGATCAAAATGGATGGGACAACATTTCGAGTTAATTCATCGAATAAGTTTTCAATCAAGTGACTTTTAGAACTTCAATCATCATGCACGGATTTTATGGCCAAGTTTCCTGAAAAGATATTTAAATCGCTTGACTTTACTTCTCTTCCCGAAAAATCTTTGATATCATTAATTAAAAGAGATAAAAGAGATAATTTACGAATAAAAGAAATTGAAGTTTGGGAACATGTTAAGATGGGGTCTCGTGAAAATCCAACCATTACTCCTGACCCTACAACTTGGTCTGATGATGATTTCAAAGCGATAGAAAATACTTTACAGCAGTGCCTTCCTTTGATCAGATTTTTCAGTTTGTCACCTAACGAATTCTTGCAAAATGTTCTTCCATATAAAAAGTTTTTAAATCATCAACTTCATAAAAATTTATTAACATATTATCTGGTTCCTGAAAGTGAAATAACTCACAACATTTTACCTTCTAGAATCGGAAACTTTGATTCAAAAATCATTAATTTAAAGCAAGTTTCCTTAATATCAAGATGGATTGATAAAGTATTTGTTAGTAATGCTAGAGACCGATATTTACCTTATAAATTCAAATTACTAATACGAGGAAGTCGAGATGGATTTACTCCCAAAGTTTTTCACACATTATGTGATGGGAAGCAAAATACTGTTACATTCATTAAAGTAAAAGGGACGGAAGAGATTTGGGAGGATATAATCCTCTAAAATGGAAATCTGATAATGTATGGGGTAAAACTAGTAGTTTAATATTTTTCCTTTAAAAATGAGGATAATTTTATTAAAGATGCGATTTTAAGTCATGTTGAAAATGCGGATCGTGCATTAAATTTCCATGATGTTCACGGGCTCTGATCTTTCGTTATTTTCTTCACGTGAGTCATCAGATTATGAATGTTGTTGTGAAAAATGTCTTACGAAAAAATGATTAGAAATGATGAAATAAATTTTCAATAGAAGATTATGAAGCATTTCAAATTATTCATAAATAAGTGATATGTAAATATGTATAGATCATATTTTTGAAGTAAGTAAAATTAATAAATTTATTGGCCAATGAGACGATATTGCAAATTTTCAGAGAATTTACAAAATAGTCAAAGTTATAAAAGATAATGAATGAATAAACGTTAAATTTTATCTGTTTTCCTTTCTATATGTTTAATAATTTTAGCAGGATTACCGGCGACGACCACATAAGATGGGACATTTTTAGTAACCTTATAAAAAAGAATAAAAATGTTCAAATTTCTATTAGTATATGTAAAACACTGTCATATTTCAATTTGTATCTTATTTTAAATACATTACCACAGAACCCGCGCCAACTGTAACCTAAACTCCATGTAATTAAAGAGTATTTGATTACACTTAGAAACGTATAAACGAAAGATATCTCAAAGAGAAACTATTCACATACCCCATCCCCGATGGTAACTCCAGGACAAATAATAACGCCGCCACCAATCCATACATCATTTCCAATCTATTCTCATTATTATTTTTATTTTTTTATTTTTTTTTAAACAAAAAAGTGAAAAAATTAATAACAAATCTTTGTTTAAGAATTGTAATAAATTAATTTCGCTCATTGTTTAATACCTTTATGGGAAAAGCTAATTCAGGGCCTTTCGCCCTTTCTTCGGGTTCTATATGATGAGTTGCGGGGTAAAGGGAAACATTTGGACCAAACAAAACACGATCTCCAATTTCGACTTTATTACAATCCAATATCGTACAATTAAAATTACAATAAAAATCGTTCCCAACATGAATATTATATCCCTAAATTCACAAAATATCACGTTAACCACTTATTTCCCACGGATGATATGGATGATAAAACTAAAACTTACATAATCACAATAGAATGGCGGCTCAACTTCAACATTTTCACCAGCACTACCAAATAATTGCCGAATCATTCTTTCTCTACCTTCACGATATTCAACAGTACCAACACTAACTGGTTTGGAATTATTATATTCATAAAGGATTTCTCTAGTTTTTAATCGATCATTAATTAATTCTTTGGAATAAGCCAAATATGGAAGTCCCGCAAGTGCCTTCTCTCTTTCACTTTGCATATTTTCACTCGAGTCATTTGTTTCAGACATGTTGATTGGATTTTTGTTGAAAGTGAGAATGTTTGAAATAATCAAGGTTTTTTTTCCTTTAGCTTTATATAAGGAATTTTCTTATAATGAAAAGTATATTCACACCAAAAAAAAACAAAAAAAGATAAAATCGGCATTTAAAATTTTCCTATATTTGTTATTTTTTATTCATGAATGAAAAGGTTTATTGACTTAATACAATAGGCATAATTCGGTTAAATTAATACAAGATTATGCAAAATGTCATCATATTTGGCACAGTAGTATGTACAACACTAAAATATGTTATAGTAAACAATATCCTCGTTTTAGGGGCAAATACGCAGTATTTTTTATTAGCTAAATTAATTAAGAGATTTAAATTTACTATATTAAAAAAATTTTTTGGTTTTAATAGCTTTAATATAGATTTTTATTGGCCAAGTAAAGGATTACTCTGAAACGCATTTTGGAAATTCCCGTAAGTATTATTTAAATCATTTAAAAATAACAAATTAATAAATTACTTTTTTTATAGAAATTTAATATTTACGAAGTTCGCGTTCCTGATCGCATGCATCACATTGACCTTGGCCTCTTCAAATATCAACTGGATTTCGGAGAAGTAGAATTGAAAAAAGAATTTGATAAATCAGATCAGGTACCGCTGCAGATTATTGACATTAATAATATACGAAGAAGGAAAAATAAGCAATGCAGATAGATGGTCTTGTTATTTTTTTTTTAGCATTTATTGGCGTTTATTATTTTTTGTAATTTCTATTATTTTTTTTTATTATTATTTTATATTTACTAGCGTTTATTATCGTTATTATTATTATTATAATTATTTTTATTATTATTTTATTACATGCATGTATAAGTTAATGCAATGAAGATCATTTGGGCCAATATTGTTCACCGGCATTAATTGTTCTCCAGCCAAATTAAAATGTCCTGTTAAAATTCATGTATATAAATGGCAGAATTTTTCTTTAATAAAAATATAACAATTATCACAACAATTATTATAACGATAATTACAACAGTTAACACAATTTACATTCGCAATAATAATATCATTCAATCCTTGAAAAGTCTGATAATTCTCTAAACACAAAGACATTGTTATTCATTATTTTCCTTTTACATATTTTTATTATAATAACTCTGAAAGATATAATTAAGGCCGGGCCAATAAAATTTTTAGTTTCTCGTAACCCGCGCGCATCAATATTTCAAAAATTGAAATAATTTTTTTTATAATAAAATTTTTATCACGTGAATTGCATATAGTTAAGTATCCAAATTTAAATGTGTTTTATTAAGTAAAATAAATGATACTAGGAATTATACATCTCTTCGCCTCTTCTTTGATTGTTGAAATTTAACATTTCTACTCCTTTTTTTTATTATTAACTGTAATATAACATTCATTACAATAATAATAGTATCCTTCTTCAATACTAACTTGATTATTATCGCCCTCTTCAGGAATTTTTCCACATTGAAAACAGATGTCTTCAAATAATTCAGATGAATAATAAGGAATTTCCATTGAAGAATCACATGTCAAGCTATTGTTTACTTTAACTTTCTCAAAAAGTTTACTTACATTGTCACTTTCATAATTATTAATATTATCATCTTTGGATGTTTCAGATTCTTTTGCTAAAATATCAAAGAATCACCACATACATATTGAAAGCTATCAATATACCTTTCTAAATTAGAATTTCAATTGAATTTAATTTTGTTTTACTATATAATACACGCCACTTGTTACATTCACAACATTCAACTACAATACCAACATTTTTAGCAATTTGAGCATTAGAACTAAATCCTATGTTATTATTTGTTTTTTTTGTTGCTGTTTTAATGAAGGCTGGTATTGCTCTGTAGTAATTGTTCTATAAACTTCTGAGAATTCTTTATATCTTGTTTTATCAATAGATAGAATTGGATCCGGTAGTGAATGAACTTAAGAAAAATCCACTTTATCACTTTTTAATGGTTTACAAATGTTGCAATCTGCTTTATAGTAATACCTGACTAAACTCTTTTTTGAAAAATTGTAATTTCGTCAAAAGTTTCGTCTCTTTAATATTTTTATAT